GACTTTCTCAACTGTGTTAATATCAGATACGTAATGTGGGTTCCAGACTGATGATCTGTATTCGAGTATTGGTCTAGCAAATGTTTTGTATACTCTAGTTAGTAGTGTAATATTACCAGAGAAAAAGCTACATAAGATTATGTTAACAACTCTTAATGCCTTTTTGGCTATGTAGTTACAGTGGGCTCTAGCACTTAGGTCATTAGAGATGAGTACTCCAAGATCCTTGACAGAGTTTGGATCATCAACAAGGTCTTGACTATTCAGCCTTTATTTTATTTTCTGATTTTTTTTACCAATATGTAGGACAGAGCATTTATTTGTTGAGATTTGAAGTTGCCATTTGTTTGACCATTCTGATACATAGTCAAGGTCTTTTTGAAGGGTAGCAGTATTGTCTGTGGTGTTGAATAGCTTTACATCATCAACAAAGAGAACATAGTTGCTCTTGATATGATCACAGAGGTCATTTATGTATGAAAAGAGTTGGTCCTAAAACACTGCCTTGGGGGACACCACTGTTGACAGGTACAGAATTTGATAGGGCGCTCCCAATTTTGACCATTTGTTGTCTTTTTGACAGGAATGCTTCTATCCAGTTATGCAGGTGTCCAGAGATACCGTAAGATTTTAGTTTTAGGAGTAGTTTGTCATGTACCACTGATTCAAAGGCTTTACAGAAGTCTATGTGGATTGTGTCTATTGCTTTGCCCTGATCAAGTTGTGTAGTCCATATGTTTTTGCAGTGTAAGAGTTGCAGATTATATGATAGTTTTTTCCTGAAACCAAATTGTTTATTAGAGAGTAGGTTGTTTGTTCCTAAGTGGAGGATGATGGATTGGTTAATAATTGATTCCATGACTTTACAGGTGACACAGCATAAAGAGATTGGTCTGTAATTTTCAACTAGGCTGAGGTCTCCCTTTTTGAAGATGGGGATGACCATGGCTTGTGACCATAGTTTTTGTCAAGGAGCTGGTCCTGAAAGATTTTTCAAAGATTATGCTTAGAGGTTCAGCTATGGCAGAGGATAGCTTTTTTAAGAAGTAGGCACATATTCCGTCCGGTCCAATAGATAGAGATGGTTTTAGATTGCATAGTGTTTTTTCAACATTTTCTTCTGTAAAATCTATATGTATTAGTTGTCTGTGGTTCGACTAGGAAATACTGGGCATGATCCATTGCTGTTTACAAATACTGAGTCGAAGAATATGTTAAAGAGGTTGGCATTATTAGTGTCGTCGTTGCAGTCTTTATCATTAGGTCCTTTCAGGGGTGGTATGGACTTTGAGTCTTTTCGTTTGTTGTTTACAAAATTGTAGAAAGCACTGGAGGAATTGGTTTTCTTCTTGTTTAATGTGATAATTGGTGCATTCAGTCTTTATCTGGTGGCATAAATTTTTGTATCAGCTTTTGAAGTTGGCAACGTGACCAGATTTGTTTTTCCACCAAAGTGATTTCTTTTTGGATTGAAGTCTCTTACTGTGGTAATGGAGTGAGGGAGAGATGCGTTGAGCCATGTTTCACAGACAAAAATGATGTCGAATTTAGCTGTATTTAGTAAGAGGAGAAATTCGGGTATTTTATTTACAAGGCTTCTTGCATTGAGTAGCTTGCATTTAAGGCCAGTTGTTGTTGGAATTGAGGTAGTTAGAAGCGTGCGTACCTAGTTTTGAGTGATAGTGGATTGGATGAGGTAGGGTTGGATGCGGAGTTGTGGGTTGTCTGACTTACTTTTGATACAATCAGCACGGTAGTCAATGTACAGGTCCTTCTTTCCATTGTCTAGACATTTCTTGAGTACTGTGCGGAATTCACAGGAGCGGATTCTTTGCAGTATAGATAAGTCTGGTCTTGAACAGAGTTTGTTATGGGTGGGATTGGTTTTTGCAATGGTGTTTATTGTATGAATGAATATACGTTTGCTGGACTCATTTTTGCAAACTACTCTACAAAATCTTGGGGCCACCGAGCCGTCATTGTATTTGAACTCAGGGCCATCTCTGGTTATTTCAATGATATGTTCAGGAGAGATGTTTTTTGTATTTGAGTTGCTTATGATATTGCGAACTTTGGTGATATCATCTGATTCGTTGGTGTCTTCAAGACCAAATAAAATGGCATTTGGACGTTTCTGATCACATTCCATGATGTCTCTGATGAGTAAGGGGATATCATTTGTGGAATTATTTGATGGGATAGTGATTATTTGTGGCTGTAGTTTAGTGGTTATTTTTGGTTGTAGTTATGATTGTAGTTGAGGTAGTAATTGTGATAGTGGTTGTTGAGTTGGGATTTGAGTTTGAGCTGATAGGTATTCGCTTATCTGTGCTGTATATTTTTTTCAAGAGAGATTAGGCTTGCTTGTACAGTTGTTTCAAAATGTGTTGCTAAGCGTTCTTCTATTGAGTGAATGAATGATTCTATGTTTTCAACTCTGTCAGGCAGGGTACTTAGTTTGTTTAGCTTAGGTAAACACGATGGACATAGAAAAGGGAATGTATCTGATGTTTTTAGGAAATCAGCTAGGTTTTTGTTTGAGTTTAAGCAGGCAAGGTGGGCTTGATTGTCACATAGATGGCATTCAATGTTATTTTCATTTTCATTGATGGTTTCAAGACATTTGAAGCATGTGCAGGAGTCTTGGAGGTCATTGGTAGAGATATTATTCTTTTGTTGTTGTTTGGTAGTGGAGGGTTTGGAGTTTTTGGCTGGCATGGTCAATGACAATAGTACACTAAACAATTACAATAGCTAATTAATGTGTCAGGTAGACAGTTACTTAATGAATGTTGGTAATTAATAAATGTTAATTGATAAGAGAACAGATCAAAAATAAGATTACTTATTACTAAAAATCAATCAATCAACTAGATAATCAATGATATAGTATTAAATCTCTATCAATTCAATACATCAGTAAATTAGTGGTCATTTAACAATTAATTATTATACTATTAAATGATAAATCAATTATTTTAGACAAAAGCATTATCTATCAATAATTGGTCTTGAGGTAATGAAATAGTGGAGGTAGTGAAGTATTGGAGGGTTATAGTGAAAAGCTCCTTTGTTTTTCCTTAAAGCCACGTTGTTTGTTTTGTTTTTGTTTTTAAAGAGGAAGTGTTGCTGCTTGATAGATTTGAATGGAGAAGATTTGAATGAACTCTCCCAAGTAGATGTACTTGGGAGTTTGGAATAGATGAGATTTGGGTGGAGATTAAGTGGAGGTTGTCCAATCAGCTGAGTGGGAATTTAAATGCAGGCTGACTAATCAGCTGGGTGATTTAAATGGAGATTGTTTAGGAGATTATTCCTCTTAGATAGTGTCTATTGATTCTCTGTGAGTTTCTTCAGTTCCCTGCAATTCACAGCTGTTCAGAATCACACTCTCCTGCTCTCCTCCAGTCCCGGCTCTTTTTCAGATGTTTAGGATCACTCTCTGTCAGTTCCGTCTCTTTCTCTGCAGTTCAGAATACCCCTCTTCACCAGTCACAGCTCATTCCATGCCATTCATTCTATGCCGCTCAAAATGGCTCTCTCTCAGAATCAGTCTCTCTGTAAGTGTCAGAATCACATTCTCATCTAATCACAGCTCATTCTGGCTCTTAGCACTATCCGCTCCCTGCTCTCTGCATGGAATCGCACTGTTCACTATCTGCCAGTCTCATTTCTTTCAAATCTCACCCGTTCGGAATGGCGTCCTACAGAATGGAGTCTTGGGCTCTCCGCTCGGGATGGTGTCCTGGCCTCTCCGCTCACTCTCTCTGCTTGCTCTCGGGATTGCCAGCAAGTTCTCTGTTCTCGGAACCTTCCGAAACCTTCTGACAGTCCCGGTTGAGGTAGATCACGGCTCCGTTGGCCCCAGACCCCACTCCCTGTCTCCAACGATGTGGTTAGGCATTCACCTCCTTCATCTTCATAGAAAGTTTTCTTGTCTTCAAATGTGCTGGTGAGAGTTGGTAAATAGCTGCTGATAATGATTATATATCAGGACTTGCTGAGAGGAAAGCTAGCTATGGTTAACTAGCCAGATGTTGTTGAGGGTCAGGCAATGTTTAGATGCCTTTTCTTACCCCCTCTCTTATATGAAGGTGATCACTGCTATCTTAGAAGGTCTGCCCAGTTGCCCTTGATGTTGCCAGATATTTCTGCTGCCTTAGCTATGATGAGATATGAAATATAAAATGGGCAGAATAACAATATCTTAAAACAGAGTCAGCTGCCACACAATAGGGTTAAACACTGTAGTCCCTGCAAGCTACATAGCTGATTGGTGTTAGTTGAAAATTCTCAAAGAAAATGTAGACTACCAGTAGAAAGATTCAATCAGTGCCTTTTATCAGAAAAATAAAATAATTACTGCTGCAATTGAAGAGAGGCTTGCTATTATGCTTACTATATTCCATGCTGATATGTGTTGGGGAAAAATGTATGCATGGGCCTTCCAATCAAACAAAATTAAAGAAATATTTATAGTACATTATAAGTTTCGTTTAAACAGGTTGCACTGTATATAATCATTCCTTAAGATTGCAGTATTTAAAAAAGTATTAAAGGGACTTTATTATCTGCAGTACTTTTGAACACCAACATCCTTGGCAACATTTAATATTTTTAAAAGAGATTTTACATGCTATCTAACATATCCTTGATATTCTTTGAAAACTATGGACAAAGTATGAAGATACTGCAATTTAATCTGGTTTACTCATTGATACAAGCACTAAATTTTATAGCACTATTTATAGTGATGGTAAACACAATGTTAAGCTATATTTCTGGTCATGTTCTGAGGGAATAAGCATCTAATAAGGAATATATGCAAACCAATACAAGAAATGTAATAAAATATGGATTATTAATGGAAGACCTCTTCTTAAGAAGGATTCTTTAAAATATTTCTTTCCTAACATGAAATTTTCCTTGTTTGTTATGTACAAGTTGTTCTTAATTTTACCCTATAAACAATAGTTTTGTCAACAATTCTTTCATCTAACCTTCTGGCGTCCTTTCGTATAGGGATCATCTGGACGTTCCAATGGGGGATTTACTTTGACTCCCATCTTTCTCAAGAAATTTTTAGTGAACTGATCACAGTCTATAATTTTATATCTTTGGCCATAAAATATGACATCAGTATCAAGGTTGAAATAATCAACAGTATAAAACTGATCTTCATTAGGAGGCGGGAGTGGAATCCGATGGCGCCTAAGAAGTGTTCCTATGTTGAAGAAAAGCACAATTAATATATCTTACTATAACTTACTAAACTGGAACTTTATATTAACATTATTCACATGAAATCTCAAAATAGTTACATGGTAACAGAAATTTTGCCTGAAATATTATATAGGGTGAATTTAAACATCAAAACATCAATTATTGAAACCCCCTTTGGACTGTGCCACTTGAAACTCCTATCTGAGGATTTCTCTCAGAAAATCATCAATAAAAACAGTATACCAGGGTTTTGTTTCTTGATATATTATTTCTATATGCATTCAGAACTCTGTGTGCAACTTACAGAATTTCCTGCCTCCGATTCCAGTAGCTTACTAGGTAAAGATGTAACTTTTCAAACAATTATTTTAGCATTCCTTGAGATTACCCTCAACTTACATTGTAACTTTGAAGTTACAATGTGACTTACGACCATTTTCACAACTACAACCATTGCAGTATCCCAATGGTCACATGATCAAAATTCAGACACTTGGCAGCATCCCAGGGTCATGTGATCCTTTTGTGACCTTCTGATAAGTAAAGTCAATGGGAAAGCCAGATTCACTTAATAACTGTAGCAAGAAAGATTGTAAAATAGGGAAAAACTGACTTGACAAATGTCTTGCTTAGTAACAGAAATTTTGGGCTCAGTTGTGGTTGTAAGTTGTACTGGGTTGCTCTCATACATTTTTTGTTTGGTTTCTAATTAAAGTGTATGATCTTAACTATGTTTTTCAAATGTAGTTGGAGCCCCCTTGAAACCCTTTATCAGGCTGGAAAGAGGTACTATAATTCCTATCTGCCTAAATAACAGCAAGTCTTTATCCTGTCTGTTAAATTGTCCAAGAATCATTTGGAGAATTGGTATTGTGGTTAATATCTGTGAGATTAGGGGAAGATATAGAGAACACACATATTAAAATAAATATCCAACAGCATATTACTACTTATCATGACTATCTTTAAAGCACAATACAATGAAATTCAGATAAAGTAGCTACCAAACGTCTTAAGGGAAAGGGTCAAAATTCCCAGAAAAGATCCAGTATATAATAAAATAAGTAATAGAAGCCTTTTTTTAAAAAAAAATTACCATGAGTATGCATATAAGAACCTGTTAGCTCTCTTCCCCTGAAGCTTAGTTGTATTTCTGAACAGGATGCATATATGTGCTGCATATTCTACAAAAATATTATTCAGGATCCTGTCCTGAGCAAGAATTATCCCTATCTCTACTGAAATAATAGTTACAAGTCAAAACTTACTTTTACCTTCCTTTCTTCACCTTTGTATATCATTCTAACATTCATGGAATATGGCCATACCCATACCCTTTTAACCCCAGGAAATGCAGTTAGAGTAGATAAGTATGCATACGTTATATTATTATGGTAAATTAATAATACATATATTTTTATAGAAACAGTTATCATAAAACTGAGTTTTTAAGTATAAAATAGAAACATATTATTCTTCAATATTTCAGGAGTGATTTGTTTTAATTCCTGGTGAAATAATAATTAACTGGAGATGAAATTTTAGTTATAATTCCACATATATTTAATATATTAGCTTCCTATAGCACATAGAGGAACCTGTTACTGGGGAAGAATAAGTAAAAGGATACTTCTGAGTATTTTTTAATCTGTCTAATATATTTTAATGCTTATATAGTATGGACAAAAATGGAAATGATCCCTCTGTTCCTTTCCTGGCTTCAAAGGAGAGCAGATGTCCACACTTACCACAATCAATTGTTACTAATGTTTCACTGCAATTCTGAGTATCAGTAGTTTGGGATAAGCAATTCTTCAAAAGGGAGCATATGATAATGCAATACAGGGAGTCTTTGACTTACAATATTCCATTTGGTGACGATTCAAATTTATCACAGCATTGAAAAAAGTGACTTCAGACAATTTTTCATATTTATGACTATTGCAGCATCCTCACAGTCATGTGATCAAATTCAAACACTCGGCCACTGACTCAAACTTATGACAGTTGCAGTGTTCCTGGATCATGTGATGACTTTTTGCAACCTTCTGACAAGCAAAGTCAAGGGGGAAGCCAGATTCACTAACAACCATGGTTAAGAACTGTAGTGATTCACTTAACAACTGTGGCAGAAAAGTCATAAATGGGGCAATACTCACTTAAGAAATTTCTCACTTAGCAACAGAAATTTTGGATTCAATTGTGGTCATAAGTTGAGGATTACCTGTACTACATATTTCTTAAAGTCAATAAATTTATTTTCTTAAAATCCAATAAATATCACTATAAATCCTTGCTTTCTGGTCATAGTTGTCTTACCAGGTCAGTTTAAATCTCTTATAAGTTATGTCTTCTGATTTCTAGATGGATTTGTTTTTTATTTGTAGCTAGTGCCACAAATTTGATGGTTTGTTTCTTGGTAGTTAACTTTAACTGTTATTCTGTTCCTGTGCGTATTTATTTAAAAGCAAATCTTACTTCATTCAATGGGATTTATTTAAATACACATAAAACCACAATACACAATACATAAGTTTTTCTGCAATCATATCAAATTCTGAAATTAGAAGACCACCTATAAACTTTTTCCAGAAAACTATCCTTAGCTGAACAATTTTCTCTCAAAATTCATTCAAACACAATTATATAATTGTACAGCACAGCAAATGGATTAAAATAGCTCTGCTTTACTTTCTCTCACAACCCTCTCCTTTTGTGTCTAAAGTGTGCATCCTCAAATCAGTGCTGATTCTAATAAGTACTTGAACCATGCAGTTTTCTTGGCAACATTTTTCAGAAGTAGTTTGCCGTTACCTTTTCTCTAGGACTGGGACAGCAATTGGACCTAGGATCCTCAGTGTCTCAGTTTCTTAGCACATTGTCTTTAGCAAAACCGTAAAAATTAATTGAGATTAGGTTCAGGTTAGAGTTAGGGTTAGGAAAGAAAACCCAAAACATGGGATGAATACTGCAAGCAGAAATTCTGGGATATCCTCAGCCAGATGACCAACAGACTCCTCCGCCTGATGCTTAAATCTCCAAATACCTACGCACGGGTCCTCTTTGTAGACTTCAGTTCAGCATTCAATATCATCATTCCAGACACTCTTCTAAGTAAATTAAACCAACTAGCGGTACCTGAACACACTTGTAAGTGGATCATAAGCTTCCTAACAGACAGGAAGCAGCAGGTGAAGCTAGGCAGAATCACATCCGATACCTGTACAATCAGCACAGGCCCCCCCCAAGGCTGTGTGCTTTCTCCACTTCCTTCTCCCTAGATACCAATGACTGCATCTCAAATGATCCATCTGTTAAAATACTGATTTGCTGATGACACAACAGTGATTGGTCTCATTCAAGACAATGACGAATCTGCATACAGACAGGTTATATAATTTGCCTCATGGTGTAACTGGAACAATCTGGAACTGAACACACTCAAAACCGTAGAAATGGTGGTAGACTTTAGAAGAAACTCTCCCATACTACCACCTCTTACAATACTAGACAACACAGTATCAACAGTAGAGACCTTCAAATTTCTAAGTTCTACTATATCACATGACCTAAAATGGACACCTAACATCAAAAACGTCATCAATAAAGCACAACAAAGAATGTTCTTTCTGCGCCAACTCAGAAAGCTCAAACTGCCCAAGGAGCTGCTGATACAGTTTTACAGAGGAATTATTGGGTCTGTCATCTGCACCTCTGTAACTGTCTGGTTTGGTTCTGCAACCCAACAGGACTGACACAGACTTCAGAGAATAATTAGGACTGCAGAAAAAACAATTACTACCCACCTGCCTTTAATTGAGGACCTGTATACTGCACAAGTCAAAAAGATGGCTGTGAAAATATTTACAGACCCCTCACATCCTGGACATAAACTGTTTCAACTCCTTCCCTCAAAACAACACTATAGAGCACTGCACACCAGAACAACCAGACACAATAAGTTTTTCCCCCAAAAGCCATCACTCTGCTAAACAAATAATTCCCTCAACACTGTTCAACTATTACAAAGTCTGCACTATTATTATTGTTAATCTTCTCATCACTCCTTATCACCCATCCCATCCCACTTGTGATTGTAGGACTGTAACTTTGTCGCTTGTATCCTTACAATTTATATTGACTGTTTCCTAGTATGATTTGATTGCTGATTGTACCCTATGACTATCATTAAGTGTTGTACATTATGATTCTTGATTCTTAACGAATGTATCTTTTCTTTTATGTATACTGAGAGTATTTACACCAAGACAAATTCCTTGTGTGTCCAATCACACTTGGCCAATAAAGTATTCTATTCTATTCTATTCTATTCTATTCTATTCTATTCTATTCTATTCTATTCTATTCTATTCTATTCTATTCTATTCTTCATTAGTTTTTTATATATCTATTTATCTATCCATCGTACAAGGTGGTATTACAGCTGTATTAAAACTCAGAAATATTACTATAAACCTTATACTAAAAACTAAAAAGCCAATAAACAAAAATGGTTTTCTTCTTTATAACTGAATAAAAAAAGGATTGCTTTCCTGAAAAAAAAACCATGCAACTTTCCCTTTTTGTGTTCATAAACATAAATCTGTTCCTATTAGGTTTAGTATGATGCATTTTTTTTAACTGATATGTCATCAACTTTAAATTGTTGACTCTGAAAGGTAAATAAAATTTAAACTTTATCTTTTCAATTTCAGATTCAAAACACAATTATAATTAATATGAAATATCATTTCTATAATTCACACATGAATCTAATCACAGGATCATCATAAAATTATATTGGGAAACTATATTCTGTATATTGCAACAAATAATGGCCTATACCACTAAATTTTATGTTGTGGCTGAAGCTCAACATAATTAAGTGGTT